GGCTGTGCTCGCTTCCGTTGAGGGTCCCCCATCGACCGAAGCACCGGTAGCTAACTCGACTAGTTCCGACCGGCAAGTTTTAGGGTCAAACTTGGCTGGCCTCGCATCGCCTTGTCCCGCGGTTTCGACAACCGAACATAATCAGATTCAGCCACGCGACATTTCGCCCATGGTTTGTCTCTTCAAACCCCATCTGTCCCGACGCCAGCTCCCCTCAAGGCGCCAGGTATTTGGCAGCCGCGACCGGCGTCGACAGCGTTGACACCACCGCTCCGGGAGAGCGCTTCCAGAGTGACCTCCGGACAGCCGGCGGTCTCGCGAACCTTGTCACGGTGGAATGGCTACGAGCACCACGTCCAGTCCAGCTCAATAACGACTCGGCGTTGGCAGCTGTTCGTAGCGAGCGCAGCCTGTTGTAGGACACCTCACGAGGCTTTCTTCAGTTTTAGCATTGGGGCGCACCCAACTTGGAGTTGCTGGCCCAACTAATGCGAACGATCAGACTTCGGTCGGTCCTTCACCGGTCCCTGCCCTTGCCGGGACCATCCCCAAGGATATCCATGCCGTCACATATAGGGCGTTTTGCCCTCAACAGCTTCGGCTGCAACCCCAGCTTCGGCTGACAGCACTCAGGGCGCTTCGGCCTCTATACCCCCGGCTGTTTTCGACCCATGTACCGAGTGTTGTACTCCTGACATGGTTTTCTTTTGGAAGCCCCCCTCTCCTTTTTCCCAATGGACACCGTCGACGTTTGTGATCGATGGAGCTGTTTACTTGTTGTGTGCTGAACAGTTTTTCGCTGCGGAAAAATCTCGCCCTTGCAAAGAAGACCACAGAGCTTTGCAGAACATCGTGCGAGTATCCGACCCTTGCCTTACACACGACGTTTGGCAGCGAAGTCCGTGGTTTCGACCAATCGTTTTGGGACGAGAGCGGGAAAACATTGTGCTCACTGGCTCTTACGCAAAATTATGTCAAACCCCCAAGTTATGAAATCATCTTCTAGGATCTGGTGACGAAATCCTTGCCGAAGCCAGTCCCTTCGACCGTATTTTGAGGCATTGGCCTTAAGGTCAATGATCCCGACGCTCGATCTATTTCTCGATGGCACGATCTCAATTTGTTGGGCAACGCCCTCCAACGTGTAGGCGGTCTTTAGCGACAAAATGCCCCGCCTTCCGAGTGCAGCTCTCGCTTGCTGCCTTCCAGCGACCACGTTCCGGCGCCATCTCTCAATAAAGCGGAATACGAAGTTAATCCTTCCGCGCACCAGCGCCTTCGGACGGCTTCGTGCCCTCCATCGACTGAACGATTCGCGTCGTTTTCGCAACACGCTTCGAATGTTCCCTCGGATCACGACACCGCTGTTTGGGCCGTGTCTGCCGGGCGCATCCCGCCAACCTCTTCCTCTTCTTTGCTTCCTGAGCGAGGTTCGGATTGGTTGGTGGCGTTGTTACCATAGATGACGACTCTTTCGCCACCGAAATCCTCTTTCACAGTGGTTCGGCCTCTGTTCAGTTTGCAAGTGGGTCACTTTTGGCACGGGTTCCCCGCAGTCATTTAGTTGTACTTCCACGTGGGCATCCGTGAAAGCCGCTTCGGCCGCTACGTCGTTGTCTGCGAAACAAACTCAACCTCGCTGTTGGGGTGGTTTCGGCAAATCTGCGCCGCTCCAAACTTCGACTCTTGTCCGTTTGAGTGTACAGTTTCTCCGTAAGAACCTTTGTACCTCCTCTCTCGCTGTGTGGGCATCTGTTGTTCCGGACGGTGTCATGCACCATGACGTGCTCCTTGGCAAAGATACAGTTGGATGCGGTTTACCGACCGCTCTTACCGCACTTTCCGTGCGAAACATCCCGGTGGCCGTGTTTTCCGTGAGCTTACATTAGCTCGGCATGACAGCTGCGGTGTCGCTGCATTTGCCCACGACATGTCTCCCCCCGATGGCAGTTATCAACTTCGGTATGCAGGAAAACATTCCTTCCATCTTCACCCGGAGCAAAGTCTCGTTCAGGTTAACTTGATGCACAGCGATGGCTCTCCAGCCCTCGTTGGTAACTATTTTGCGGCCATGCTTCCACAATGTGCCATGTTTTCTTCAGAGGAACATGTCGTACAAAATGGTTGTCAACAAACCCCGCTCGCGGGCATCTATTTATAGTCTCTCGAACCAGGAGGTATCTTGGGTACAGCTTCGGCTCCCCGTCTCCAAGTGCTTGTTCGCGCTGTGTTGCACCACAGTTTGAGCGACGGTCTTCCAACTACGGCTCAAGGTTGCACCGCTGCTTCGGGCGACTGGGTTTTCCTGCCTCGACAGGTGGCGTGGATTGGTCTGCCACGCATTCCGTTGCTGACCCCTTCGTGATCAATATACATCGTTCGTACGGCATGGTGTGTGAACAACACAACCTATCCGTTTCGCGCTCTTTGGGATGCTTTACGTGAACTTCCCTTTTACACCGTAGGTGGGTGGGTTTTGTCGTACAACTCCGAATCCACTATCCGTCAAGGTGTTCGTTCAGGCACGGATTACACGGTTCTGAAAGCCAAGTTGTCTTTGCTCTGGACTCTGACCCGTTCACAGTTTTGGCTGCTGGTCCGTGTTTTCACGCCGTTGTGGTCCTTTTGGGGGTCCACGTTGCTCTACTTGGATCTCCCGTCGGACCTACCGGACCAAGACTCGAAACTGTGTGTCTTAGTTGTGCGTTGCAAGCCTTGCGCTAACCAGCATGGCACCGATGACCTGCCGAGATTTCTGCCTGCTGGACCTACCCCGGTCGTGCTGAACTTTTATGCGAACGAATCTCCTGCTTACCATGATACGGAAGACGACGTATCTACTCCGGTCGAACGTCTCGATGTTAAAAGCATTAGCAAACACCAGTCCGTTCGTGGTCGTGGTGGCCCTATGGCCCTCTGGACAGGTCTTCTTCGCCCTTCCTGGGAGCGTAAGATGGATCTACAGCACTCCAAGCCGAAAACGTTTCGGTACTGGACAGGTTCGCCTGACCAACATCGCCAAACGAACCGTCGATATCGTGCGATGCGCATTGGTGCGGCTACCCGCGAATTGGCGCGCACAAAAGGATGCAGAGCTTTGCCTTCGGGTTGCTCGCTCGTTCCTCGTCCTACATGGAACCGTCGCGTCGCCCATACTCCTCTACCTGGGGGCGACCTATTCTGGTACAACCCGCACGATAGACTCAAGTTGCAAGATTTCTGGAGCCTCTCCCGGCCGACTTCTACGTCGTCCGCTTGTTGGACGACCCTGTGCCAGTCAAGCTCGTCCTTCCCGAGGTTCGCTACTCCACCATCAAAGCCACCGTCTCCGGATCCTGGCGCCTCGAAGTTCACAGCGGCGGCGCTCTTTTCAAGGGTATTCTTCGCAACATCGACATGCCGCGTGGCGGCGTCGTAAACGACTCGTTGCCCGATGACTTCGTGCGCTCGTACGCTCCCAATAAGACGGCATGCATGGTTACTTTTGCCTTCTGTTGCTCTAAGCATTATGTTTTTTTTGTTTTCTCGTCTTCTTTCTTTTGGCTTCTTCTACATAGTCCGCCAGGTCGAGCGTTCTCTGTCCCCTACCGCGGTGTTGCCAGTTATTGTTTGGTGTCACGACCCCTTTTTTTTTCTTTTCTTGGCGTCCGAAACGTTTGGTTTTCGGCCTTTTTGGTACGTGGTGGTGCTTCTGTACGTTTTCGATTTGTTTCGTCTTCTCTTCTTATTATTTGAGGACTGAAGATACGCTGTCGCTCCCACGCTACCGTGCTGATTGTTTGGCGAATCTTGTCGTTTTGCCGATACAGTCCTTTTCGTCGTTCCGACGGTTTGTTTGCGTCGTTCCGACTACGTTCCTTTTTTTCGTCGTTCTGGCGACGCGTATTTGTTTTTGTCTCTTTTGTGTCCTCTTCTTGGGATATTTCAGCTTGGGATGATTTCTATTTATCAATTGGTTGGGTTACTATATACTGGCATTGGACACATGTCACAATTTGGCAAGGTAGTGCAGCTCACTTTATCGAATCTTCACATTATACTATGGCGTGCCTACGTGATTCTTGATGGTTAAACTCTTCGTTCGCCAATAACTAATGGTTATAACCCTTACGCTTTGTTCGGAGGCGTCGGAATAAACGACAAATTCAAGACAAAATCGGGAAAATGGAGAACAGGGGTAGAGGATAGAGCACTCTTGACATTTTGAAAAGCGGCATCTTGCGCCGGTCCCCATTCTTTAATAAAACTAACCGTTTGACATGGTCATGTGGAGTGAGTTCGACCAGCGGTCCCCACGCCATCTTCAAGGCCGACATCCCCCACCGTCACATTCAGGCTCATGCCGGAGTCAATTTCCAGTGACGGCGGGGAGCTACTGTAAACTGAGACGGGCGCGTCCTGCACGACCTAGACTTTTGGCACATGGGCGTGGGGCTCGACGGACTCCACATCTAGAGCCCCGCTTTGTCTGGCATCTTGGGTGAGACAACCCGCCCCGTGTAGTGTAGCGCGTAGTATCTAGAAACTGTAACACGTGTTATTGCTGTCCGGTACTGTAGCATCAGCCAAAGTTAAACACAGTCACGCAGTAAACAGCACACACACACTCCACCATCTTTTCCCCGGGGATTCAAGGCTAGAATTCAGCGTTTGATGGCATTTCCAAGGCTGTTTTACCGCCCGATGACGCGCATTCAATCTTCGGCTGCTGAAAAACAGCACCCATCAATCTGGTGTGAAATGCACAAATCTACGACACTCGATCCGCTGTGCACTGAATGTCAACACACGGTCTCCCACCATCTTGAGTGCGTTCCACTTGATGTGCAGTCTGTGCCCACCACCTACTGACTGCATCTCATCCACCCTTAACTAACTCTGAGGACGACGTGAAGGGCAATAGCCCCCCGTGTATCTTACCCCTAGAGCCCCTCCATGGTCTCTGTCGCCTTCAGCAGGGTGTGCGTCAGCACATTCCACACGTGCGGCCTACACAAACCCTACGTATTTTGTACACCACCGCGTCCTTGAAGTGCAAGGAGCTTTTCGTATGAAGATTCATCACATACAACTCCCCTTAGTTCTTTTGGAACATATGTTGCCCTTGGGTCGGCTTCAGTGATCCCAAGGGAACCCAAGGAACACCAGATGTTGTACTTGCCAACATCCAAAAGCCATTCGTCCGGCTCGATGTCGGACGGATCCAACGCGCTCCAGTGAACCATGTCGGGCATGAAACGCCTGGGCGGGCCGCGACCAGGAAGTACGAGGGCGGCGTTTTACAGGTCTTGGAATGCCAGAAAAGTGGGGTGCATGAAGAGGAGTCCATGCATCAACTCGTCGCGACATACCATTGGTCACAACCACACGGAACGAAGCACCATCACCCACCCACCAAACACTCAATAGCATGCCGCGACAGCGATGCATCCCCGATCATTACCAGAAGACTCACCACACGAACGACGCCAATAGGCTTGTCTCGAGAATCCAACGACGAATCGGGGGGCGGTCGCCCAACGCGCTCTTTCCAAGAGTCCCTCGACAGCGCCCATGTACGAGCTCAGCCAGGGTATCGACGTCGACGCCATGCACCTCGTTCACAAATTTTCTCATTTCTGAGTATGCCGCTCGCGGGTACACCAGACCCTTGAGCACCGCGAAGTCCCGGACCTCGTGTATGTCAACGATCGTCTCGATTCCGCAAGCTAGGTATTGGTCCATGCGGGAACCTTTGTTCGAGAAATCGAACATTAGAGGTCGAAGCGTGGCCGGCCGACGGAATGCGTAGGCAATGGGGAGAGAGAGAAGAGACCACAGTGGTGCCAACGTAGGGGTCGGTTAGAAAACCAATGCAGCACAACAGAGAGGCCATTCGACTGCAGGGTGAAACACGTGGCATAGCAAGAGAGGGAGCAGTGGAAGTATGGACGTTCATTCACATGATCTGCGCCACGGCAACAACTCTCTCGACCAGGGAACGTACCAATGACGTGCAGATATTCAAAAGTTGCAACACTGAAAATGGTCGCGATGCGACGGGTCACTTAACCTTGATGTTGAACTTTCATGAAAGGTGCACGCAAAAGGTCCTGTTGTTGGTGCCCCCAGGGAGGGCCATATTGTTTAGATACTTCCCCTTTGGAGCTTAGAGCCAACTTCACGCAAGCTGCGTATGGAGGACATATCGTGTGCTACCATAGTAGTGCGACGTTTCACGCATACGTTGAGCAGTTTAGGTGTTCTCTTGATGTACTTGACCGTTTCGTGTGACCACGACTTGAGGCTTCGGAGGAGAGAATCCCCGCTCGTGCATTGGGTGACCCGACGAAAACCCGATTCCCCCCACGTATCTCCTATTCCTCATACAAGGCTCTACTGGTATCCTCGCGAAAATATTCGAAACATGATATATGTCCGCTTGTGCTATGTGTGCAAGACGACCGTCATTGTGCAAGCTTCAGCTAACCGATAAAGGTAAACCTGCCCAGCTGTCCGGCAATTCGTCACTGTGTACCGCGCAGCACTTCTGCTTTGTATAGGGAAAGGGTGGGTCTAGCCGGGGGGGGGGCGAGGTGAATCAGTTGTGATTCTGTTCAGGTCGTATCTTCGCTCCTGCACGCAGTAACAGTCTAGATTTGCAACAAAACTTTGCTTACCGCCTGCCGAACTGTCCACATCGCCCCCCGGAGACAGGCGCTTGTATGGAATCACCGGCTTGCCGAAGTAAAACAAGTTCTCGTACGTCACATCCGACATCAAAATGTCTCCGACTTCGAGCTGCATCACGAACTGCCCTGACGAGTGATCGTCCGCCTGCAGTCCGGACCAGCGAGACCGGCTGCCGATCAGTGAATGTCTCGACCCATCTACTTCTTCTATGATTTCCACGGCGAATGGTGCTTCCTCGATGTAGGCGTTGAGGACATCTTCCAGGCCCGCCCTCTCGATCGGGGGCTCGGTGAAAACCACCACAACTTCGAACACTTCGGGGAACCTTAAAGCCACGCTTGAGATAGAGGCGTCCAGCAGCGTTGGGCTCGCGCTTCGGCCTGAATAAAACACCACGCTGACTCTCAGGTTGAGGGTTGAGATGGAGGGCATATCCTTGCCCGTCGGGTACCCGAACTCAATGCCGGCCTTCGGCCTGAGAAGTGCGGGGTCCAGGTGGATGCTGCCCCACGCGCATGGACTTCCGCTAACGAAGTGGCTGAGTTGTTCCTCTAAGGCGGCTGCGACGTCGTACCCCTTCGCCGCCATCGAGATGTCGATTACGCAGCTGAATCGCGGCTTCACGAGAGGAATATCCCAAACCGATGCCTTTTGAAACATGTGGTGCGTGACCCATTGCCTTGGATTAATGAACCGGAGGCCCGCCGCGTTGCGAGAGTATGCGAAGGCAGCCAAAACCTAGACGTTCCAGACGGAAAATACACAGGGTACGACATAGACTATTATTGACTTACAGCAACACACCCGACGCTGTGATTGCTAGTCAGCCACCCGCCTTGACGTAGTCAGTGATATTCACCAGAAACAATGCCTCGCATCTCTACCTTATATTCGCCTTGGAGTGGAGACACGACCAATAGACAAACAATGGTTGGACGAGAACTCTACACAGATCACAACTAACCGATTCTTGCGACAATCACACATTGGTCGAACTGATTATACTCTCTTGCTCACCTCAGGAACATAAATGCCTGGAACTTTACCGAGAGCGTGAACGGCCTGTAAGTCCCCGTTCGTTGACACCTTGCCCTTCACCGTCGTAGGGTCTGAGAGCAGAAAGTTCCGCAGCTCCCGATTGACGTCCACCGGCAGGATGATGTCGGTGCCGAACGAGAACGATGGACTTTTGAAGCCGAGAACTAACATGGCGGCAAGCGCTTTGTTTTTCCTCGACTGTCCGACCCTGTCCAACTACACGCGTTGATTCGTTACCCATTTGATCGAATGGTGTGGGCGCAAGAAACGACGCGATGTGTGAGAAGGGCTCTCGTGTACCGGTGTTTGCGCAAGATCGCAATCTGGATTCCCGATATATCGCCTGCATCGCCCCCATGAGTGCATGATATCGAAACACAGGACGCCGATGCCAGTGTAGAGACGAAAAAAATATATAACGCAGAACCACACCGATCAGCTTGGACGTTATGAACAGAGCCTACAAGTTGTAAGGTTGTCTGAGAAAGTACGGTTCCACAGAATACTCCGCGCTGAGCGAGCTGTACCGTGCGGCTGTGCGGTTGTGCAAACATTCGACGATGATCTACGACGCTCCAACACTCTGTTGGAGTTGTATTTCTAGGAAAAAGCGACAGCTTCAAAGGGATGCTACGTGGTGTGGACCACGCGGCTAAGGCGCATCAGTCTGCAAACCACCCCCCCCCGTCCAAGGTAAGAACGTTGTGGAACGGCCCATCGGCATGATCCCTGTGCCCGAAAAGTGAGTGGTGTGTTGAGTTTTTGCATAGGCACCTATGGACGTATGTACTCAATGTTCCCAGTTCCGGCCATGCACGAAAAATGGTGCGCCATGAATAACACGGGATGTACCGACATGGTGAATATGTTCAACTTTGAAAATAAATTACATGGCTACAGTACTCGAATGGAGCTTCCCCGAGCTACAGGTTTGCGCGTGTTCACCGACTCGAAAGAAAGCATGTGTCGAACCTTTTTCTTGAATGAAGTGAACTGGATAGTTGCAAATCATGGCGGCTTTGAAGCCCGTAGCACGCATCGAGCAACGTATCCCTTCGGTAATAACCTCGGCACCAAGGAACTGTAGACTCCCAGCAATCAGTAGCCGCTGCAAACCCCGTCCACTCCTACCACTAAAATAAAATCTCTCGATGTTGGGACAGTAATGGAACAGACGCCAAGAGGCCACCTTCGTCGACGGCGCTTCGAAATACACCCGAGCACCTAGCTTTGATTGTGGTCAACTGCAAGACGATCGCATAAGGGCCGGTCAAGACAGGATGGTGTCCAAACTCCATACCCTGGCGTACCTCAGAATATGCCACTAGCAGGTCCCCCGCCGGCGAGTGCGTGTCCTTAGAGGTGAAGGTTCGCCACAAAAGCTCGCCTGCTTTCATATACAAGATTAACTTCGTGCCTTCCCCGCAATGTCGATCCGCCAAAAGCGGCGCCCGGCTAGCGGACCGTATTGCCTCCGAAACTCGAACTTCTGGAACAGTCCCAAAGACCCTGACAGATTGGGTACACACGTGCAAATGTGCGGAAGTGATCATATAGGGACGTGACGTTGGTAGAGCAAGCAACGGGTTGCTGCCAGGGTAAAGATCATGGAAAGCAAAACCAGCACGTCAACACTCAAGAGTCACAGAGGAGTTTCACGTTATGAAGAAGCTGTACAACGTTAACAGGTACACACCACACAGACCGGTCTCGGCGACAAATCCAAACAACAATGAGACGGCCTATCAGATGGCGCACAACGGTGGAACGACGATGCTCTTACCCAAGACGGAGGGCTTCGAGATGTAGGCTGTCAAATGTTTCCCAGCAACGGATAGGTGTGAAACCTGGTGCTTCTCTTCATCTATTTGTCTACTGTCCCTATTTCTCCTTCACGGGAAGCTCATATGTACCTCTTGAAGAGCGAGACGTCGTTAGCATCAGTCGCGATAGCAACCCGCATCCCAGGCATGAACTGGCCGATGCTCTTGACCGTTACTTGCGTTTCCTTGATGACGAATGCGTTGCTTGTCAGGAAGGCACATATTTGGCCGCGCTTGATTCCCGTGACGAATGGTTCGTTGGTTGGATTGGACGAAGTGGCTTCATCGGTCAAAGTCAGGCTGTCCGTGTTGAAGGAGTGTGGTAGAGGAGCCCTGAGGGATACCACAGGGATATTCACACACGATGGACACATGAAAGAATGGACAGAACAGAGGAAACAATGGACTATGTGAGAAGCCCCCCGACAGGTGCAGAAGGCGGAGGAGCGATAGTGATGGGCGTGGAGCAAGGTGAAATCTGCTTATTTCGGTCACTCTATGCTACAGCAACGCTCACACGCACAACCGGCGCTATCTTTCACTCACGACATGCTTGTTTGGGGAGCTTTTTCTTGGGCATCAGCATCGGCTTCCTCGCCAAGTTTGACCATCGCCCTAGCTTGTTCGGCTTCCACAGGTGACTCCCAGTCCTCGTCCTCTGTTGGTGGCTCGAAGGTGGTACACCTGTAGATGTTTGGACATTTGGTTGTTAGAAAAACGTACGTTTGTTCTTTCCGGTCTATGCCGAATGTTGATGACGGAATGCATGCCCCCAAGCGAAGCAGGCTTTGGATGGATCACCCTAAGGAACAGCCTTGTCATGAAGAGCACATGTCATTTGCAATGCCCGTGCCTCCGCGAGTTGCCTCACATTACGACGGATCCGCCTCTTTTTCTCGCGACCACGTTGGCTGCGATCGCCTGCAGGCGGTCGTTGTAGCAATACCGGCAATTTTCGCCATACCCTCTCCAATTGCAGTTGTAGTCCCCGTGCCGCCCGGTTCCGCAACTACGATCGCACACCTTGGGAAGCGAGGTGTCGATGGCAGGCGCCAGGGGGGAAAGGGGCCCCGGTATTCAGTGAAAAGCGGCATGCCCGAAATCGATGCGACGCAACCACAAAGCAGACGTAGCGCATGCATGCCAAATAGGGCAATCATGGCACATACAAGAGGACCACATTTTGAGTGCTGACGGTGAGCCGACCCAAGCTTCGCTGCCACACTTTGGAAGGAGATCAAAACGCCCGCATCCCCAAGAATATGACGTCGACCTGCTGGTACATGTTTAGACTCGATCGTAATACTCACCGCGTCGTCCATCTCCTGGCATTGATGGCTGCATCCGGAGGCAGCCGGCGGGGGCATCAGAGTGTCGCACATAATTACGTGCCGCTGCTTTTCAAGAATGGGCTGCACTTCGTTCATCTCGCGATCCTGCTTCCGTTTCACGGTGTTAACTGCCCCTTGCTCCCTTTGGTTCCCCACGGCGCCCCTCTTCCGGTTGTCCCTACCCCCCCCCCCCCCCCCCCCAAA